AATAAAAGTCTTCGACTTTGGATGGTGATCTTGGTTGTAAACTCAGTATTATTTTTTTATTTCCATCATGATCCACTTGATGCAGTATTATTTAAATGGCATTTTTTAGTTGGATGGCTAAATAGTCCACCATTTAATCTCCTTTTAATCTAAATTTTAATTCAATGATACATGTTACACTGTGTTTAATCAATGCACGTCTGTTTTGGCTAGTATTTTTAAAAGTCAAACATCCAAATATATATATATATATATATATATATATATATTTTAAATCATCCCAACACTATAAAGGAAAAGAAGTAGAAACATTTCAGGTGTAAAAAGTTTTCATGGGAATTATTTAGCTTGAAACAAATGAACATAGTCTTTATGTGTGTGTATATATATATAATATAGTGTTAATTGCTCGAATTAGACAACTAATTGTCACGCTAGCATAAAACTTTATAACACAGGCATAAATATAAGAGTCTACATGGCATGAAGGTTCGGGAACACTCGTACACTTCGTAGAGAAATGTATATGATTCTCTAAAATAGTCTAAAATTGTACATTATCTAGATATGTTTAGCATTGTAGAGATATTCTTTGCAGCATTCTGAAACTATCCAATTCTAAAATTCTTCCGATCGTCTGATGAAGGATATGTAAATAGATTCTAGCCATTCGTGATAAGGTCCGTTAGTCTATATATAGGGGTGGTAGTTTATTTGCTCAAACAACCAAGTTGTAAGAGTTGCTCGACACCAATCCAAGTATTTCATTCAGCCGTGGTTGTAAGTATCCAATGAACAGAATTAGTTTGATTGTCTTCCAGCAAGAATACGTAATTCATTTTCGTCGATACTAATTAAGCCATTAATGATAGTTATTAGTTCAAAATTTGAATTTTAGTTTTTTTTTAGTCCAAAAGCCCATGTAATTATCCCTATATTTTAGTTTCTTACAATTTTGAAAGAAAAAAATAAAAATAAAAAACACACACACTTATTCATACTAAAAAAATATGTTGGGCAGAAACTGAAAAAAATAATAATAATTCGCTCTAAATTTATTGGGGGTATGATATGTATGTGGTGAGTCATTGGTTGGTCAATGCATATTTAAAAATATATATATATATATATTCAAATACAATGTTTGTAATGGGGCGGCAAGTCTAATTGCTCCGTCAAAAATAATAAGTAGAAATTAAAAATTAATATTAATAATAATTCTCTCTAAGGGTCAGTTTGGTAGAGTAGAAAAGGGAGGAAAGGAAAGGGAAGGTGATGGAGGGGGATTAAAAATGTGTGTTTGGCAAAAATTGTTGGAAGGAAAGGGAAGTGAAGGGAAGGGTTTGGAGGGTTAGCTTGTGCCTTCAACAGTAGATTTCTTAACCTCCCAAAAATGGGAGGAAATGAAGGGAAAGGGAAGGAGAGGCTTGATGGGTGATTTCAGATGCCAATTTTACCCTCAAGATTGCAGAGAGAGAGAGAGACCGCCGGTGATTGAAGCTTGGAACGGCGACCCGAACTGGAACAGCAGCCATGGAAACTGAAGGATATGGGTTTTGGATTTTCTGAACAATCTGAAATGATACATCGATACGGGTTTGAACTTTTGATTCTTGCAAACAGATAGATAAACTGGAAATATATGGGTTTTGAATTTCTGATTCTTGTAGAGAGAGAGAGAGAGAGAGAGAGAGAGAGAGAGAGAGGCCAAGTTCAGTGTTGAGAAGGAGTTGCAGAGATGGAGCGAGATTGGGGAGGCTTTGTCCTATTTTTTTATTTTTCTTTTCTTATGGCCTCAAGTTAAAGACTTTATATATATATATATATATATATAATAGAGATGGAGGATTAGGGAGGCTGAAATGATTTGCCCTAATTTTTATTTATTTATTTATTTATTATTATTATTATTTTTTGGCAAGTACATGAAACTATATATATATATATATATATATATATATAATATAAATATAAAGGGGTATAATAGTCCATATGTTAAAATAATTCCCTTCCATTTCTTTTCCTTTCTTTTCCCAAACATAATTATTGTCCTTCCCTTTCTTTTCCTTTATTAATCAACCAAACGCAATGGAGGTTTAAAATTATCCTTCCTTTTCCTTCCCTTCCCTTTCCCTCATAACTAACGTTATCCTTCTTCTTCAAGCCCGCTGTACCAAACAAAGCCTAAGTTTATTGGTAGTATAATATGTATGTGGTGAGTCTGGTCAATTCATATTATTAAAAAAAAAAACAAATATAATGTTTATAATGGAGTGGCCAAAAAATCAAATATAATGTTTATAATGCAGGTGAGATTTTGTTATGAATCCTAAATTGTAGCCAATGAACAACTGGTACAGGTTTTAGCCACCTGCAATACAAGTCGCCAAAAGGGTATATAGTGAATGAACACAAAGAGTGAATAGTAGAAGGAGGAGAGTAATTAAAAAGAGTAGAGAGATTATTTAGGGTCAAAAAGTCAGTGTATCCTTTAAGAGTAGAGATTATTTATATCACTTGTAATTTTTTTTTTTATTATTATTATTTTTAATACAGTAAAACGTGTGATTCTTCAGTCCTATGTAAAATTTTTAAACGAATTAATTTTTAACAAGCTATACCAATATTGATACCGAAAAAATTAATTCATAATAGTGTTCATACTTTAAACTTACAAACTTACTCAAGGTTACATATAGCTAGTTTTATATGCCCTATATTTTTTATTTATTTTTATCTAAATATGCATTACATATTCTCCCAACATTTGTCCCTTAAAAATGTCTAATTGTTTGCTCAAGGTTTTTTTTCATTTAACATCACCTTCTGCAATTCAATCATTATATCTTTAAAAAAATAAAAAATCATGTAATATGTTTTTATTATTCATACATGCAAAATACTTTCGGATGTGTTCTGCTGTATGAACTTAAAATCTTAAAATTAAAATTGAAATTGGAATTGGAATCGGTAGAATTTAAAAAAAAAGAAAAAAAGTTCAACTTTCCTGGTTATTTTTCTTCAATTTATCAATTCCAATTTCAATACCCTAATTCCATGCAGAACATGACCTCAATGAAAGTAAATTATTGCAAGTTGATAGAAGTATCAAATCTATCTTAATTTAAATTGAAACGGATTCAAATCTCTGACAAGACAAACATAAAATCTAATACTAGTAATCTAATTCATGACTTTTGTTGGATTGGGCCGTGGTCGTTTGGTCCCAAAACTGGGTATCTAGTTCATGGGCCATTCTTTTGGGCCTATCTTTGTATATTCTTCTCTTCTCTTGAATGAAGTGCTTTACTTTCCAATTTTTTTTTTTTTTTTTAATTTTTTTTTTTTGAAAACAATAGGCCTCTTTTCTTGATGAATGTTTTTTTAATTTTTATTTATTTATTTATTTTTTTCCACTAAAGCTAAGAAAAAGCAAGAATGAACTATTGTTACGACAGCAAACAACAAACAACATCGTTGTTTAGCTTGTTGGAATGTGAACGTAGAATCGGATAAATGACCACCAAGTTGAAGAAAAGCCTCTCTAGTAAATAGTGAATTCTATTCAGTTTAGATCAGGATGTTATTTAAAAGAAGGCTGGGATATTTGCAAAACATAAGTAAATATTTTAACCTTTTTGTAAAGAACATTCTAATTTTTTTGAACCGGACAAAACATGATTCACTGTTTCATTAGAGGCGATATTTGTCCACCTATGAAATGGATATGGTTAGAACACGATACTGTATTATATCTTTATATATATATATAAATTGATTTTTGGTCAAATATTATGAATCTGAAGGCAACATTAATATAACATATAAGTTAATTTCACTACACATAAAATAAGCCTCCATTTAAAATGTGTTATGAAAGTATCTGATCGGGAAGAAATGAATACGTATAAAAAAAATTTAAATATATTTTAAAATTATGGATATGTTTAAGAAATATCTGATAACTATTAATATTCTATACATATTCAAGGTATCACTCTCATAAAAGTATTTGTGCTTTCTAACTAGGTACATTTGATGTTTAACAAGGGCGAGCATGCACGGACCTAGTTAAGGACCAGTGGGGATACTTGCCCCACTAGAATTTTTTTTATTTACATTATTAACTATAATTTTTGTTGAAATTTTAAAATGCCCCTACCCCATTTGTAAAAATTTCCCACTTAGCATTCTTGCCCCTACTTATTTTTGTTTTGATCCAAAAGATAATCAACTCTCTTTTTCACTCCCCCTACATTTATGATAATCAATTCTCTCTCACACTCATTTTCCCACTCTATTCTCATTTTCCCACCCAACTTTTGAAAATACCCACTATATATTCATGCATCCATTGATATTTTTAGTCAAAAAGAAAGTAAAATAAATTGGTTCTCTTGTTGAACAGTTAAAATGTCAAAAAATCTGGATCTCACACTGACACAAATTGAACATGGCTCGGCACATACCCTTGCTATTTCCTTTAATAAGTTGAGAACCATCGTAAGCAGGAAGAAAGTGCAGTGATTCTTCTGCAGAAACCTCTGCATGGCACAACAAAGGTCTATCAACCATGGAAAGGCTATTTGGACTGAATTTTTAAGTGTTCAAGTGATAATTAAAAGCATTCCGTTTTCAATGATATTCAAATTGCATTATTAAACTCACTTAATTGGATCAGCGCTTAATCATTTCTTGATTAAGCACTGAACTGAGATGAGATATAAAACTATACCTGAAGGAAAAGGAAAATCAGCCTAATTGGAACTAACTTTTAGACAAATTTACAGCTTAATTTAACTTTTTTCCCGATTACTCATAAATTCTACATTTCATTCAGCTGTATATCCTCAGTTAATCTATCTGTTATCATGTCTTTCTTTAATAACATTAACTACGTTAACTTCGATCTTCCTCTTTCCCTAGTACGTATTACAAAACGAATATAGTGTTAGGCATGCAAGACATAGTCAATCAAATTGAGTTATTGCAAGAGGATGTAGTACCAAATTTATCTTGATTAAAACTGAAACAGCATCAATATTCTAAGTCTCAGCCACAGTTTTGTCTGGGCAAACTTAACAGTCGATCATCTAATGTTACAGGTAATGAACAATAGGCTATTATAATAAGTTAGTTCATCTAAGGCAGCACAGTACAAGATGAATGAATTTTTATTTTTTATTCTAACGAAAAGGAAAAGCAACAAGAACGAATTACTGTTACAACAACAAACAACGAACAAAGGGGTGGTTTAGCTTGCTGGATCGTCGAAGCAGAATCGGAAATATGCCAGCATAGTTAGAAAACTCCACCAAGCACATTAGATGTCTGCCAAGGGCAAGTGCGATTTGGAGAGCTAGAAGAGCATAATGAATTGCCATCAGTTAGCTTTCCCCTTAGTAGTTCCTTCGGTACCTTTAGAGCCATCATAAGCGGAAAGGAAGAAAGTGCCCTGATTCTTCTGCAGAAACCTGCATGGCACAGCAAACGTCTCACAACCGTGAAAAGGCTTATTCAGGCAGATTTTTAGATGACCAATCCAGAAATACTCCTATAGAATCTATGGAAAACAAGTTTGTCTAATGCCAAAACCACCTATGTTACGTGTACTAAGATACGTGTGTCGGGTGCGGGTATGTATCCAAGCATTAGATATATCAAATTTTAGAAATAGAAAGATAAATGGACGTTGCTAAATATTCATATTATTTAATATTCCTATTTTAATTTATACTTAAAATTATTTCTTTATGTTACATAGTGTCTACTATACGTATTTCACTCGTTTTAAAGCAAAAAATATAACGATATAAAATTATGTAGTATTAGATATGCTTTTTAGGTGCATATCCAACCAAAAGAGTTGGACACATATCCTATACTCATGTCCAAGTATTCTGCATTTGACACGGATAGATCACCTACTTTTGAAGAGTCGATGTAACATAGAAAGAAACTAGAGATGCCATTTTCCAAGTGATAGCAAAAACTAGTTGGATCTAAATGGCTGCAGAAAACAGATGACTCTTTCCTAATATATTTAAGGACAAATTAAGGTTGCTTATCTAATCATATATATATATATAATTCAAGCATCAACAATATATAAAATATAATTTACGACAAAAAATGTATAAATAATAATATCCAATCACCCTGAAGCACACCCAATAATGTCTCCAACCTGTAAGCTCAACCAACATTTACTGGTGTAGAACAGACAAAGTGGGTGTCCTCGAAACAAAATGCAGGTATCCATGACACTGGCTAATAATATAAACAAAAATGGAAAACCCTGAACCTGAAGCACGGTCATGGTAAAAAAGACATGTAAAAAATATTTGTGCAAATATGGAAAGCCATTTCAAGGTGGAATGACTTCAGATGATCAAAAAATGAATTTTTAATAGAGTATCTCATAAAACCAAAAAAAAAAGTTTTCACGGGGACACAATTATGGTGAAAATTATGTACCTAGTCATCCCACATCAAACCAATGGTTCAAGATTCAATCGAAAATATGACTACAATCATGGAAGTTCTTTTAAAACCATTCTCTATTGAAGTTTCTTCTAGGGACATTCCAGTCACTGTGCTTAATTTTTTATTTATAGGTTTTCACATTCAAATTAAGTTTTTAGTTCATAGTATCATCAACAGAAGTAGGAACAGCATAATCTATTCAAATAGCACTTGATATAAAGCAAAGCATAAAGTTTATACTTGAGAAAGTCGAGTAATTTCTGCTGCAAACGAATCAAAGTCTCCTCTTCAATGTTCACATATGCCAATAACTCAGGCAACTTAACTGCAAACATCAGTAAACATATTAAAATCATGGTAGAATTTAAAAATTGAGGAAAAAAAATATTTAGTAAATGACCTTTGTACTTAACTAAGAAGTCAACACAGATCGCTATATGTATAGAGAGAGAGAGAGAGGGAGGGGGGTTAGAGTGTTTCTCAATTTCATCATAGTGCTTTATTCAAGGTGGAGAGATCTTCAATTGAGGTCATAGTGATTTAGGGGGAAAAAAAAAAAATTTGAGGTCATAGTGCTTTATTCAAGGTGGAGAGATCTTCAATTGAGGTGGACCTATGAAGAGATGCTTGTTCGAGGTGGAGCACATGAAGATAAAATTTTGAGCCAAGGTGGAGATTGTTAGAGTCGTAGCTCAAATTCTGGTAGAGAATTCTATTCTGGACAAGCGGAATAGGTCGCGTTTTAGCAAAACAGGCTGCGCTTGGGCAAAATGGTTGGATCAATATTTGAAGAAGCGAAACAGGTTGTGTTTTAGCGGAACCAGTTGCGCTTGCCTGATATGTGCGAGAAATAGCTTCCTAATCAGTTTTGGAAGCCAAAAGACTTGGGAAAAGGCTGAAGATTTGGGGTAGAATTTGTGCTTGCTATTTTAGAGTTGAAGAATGATATGGTAACTCCTCGTAGGTAAGTTGGGGAATACTTGTCCAACAAGGAATTGGGTTTGAAGACTTTGTAAATAAAGATGGGTGTGAGAGGGTTTAGAGAGAGAGAGAAGAGAGAAAAGATGTAAGGGGTTTAAGGGTGAGTGTTGTAAGGAGAGGAGAGAGTATATGTAATTCCCGAGTGTATACATGTAGCCTCAAAAGAGATGATGAGTTAGTGAATGGGGTTTTGACATGTGGTTGCATATTCTCTTCCTTGATTCATAATAGTGAAATCTCTCTCCATGGACATAGCCCTAGAGTTGGGTGAACCATGTAAAATATTATGTTTGTGTGTGGATGTGTATGATTGTTATCTCCATATATGCTTGTGTTGATGTGGTGTGATGATGCTTCCGCTATGTGTGATGAAGGTGAAATTTAACTCCCAACAACAGCCGACCGTTGAGTGAGTTGGAGGGAGTTAATTATCCCCAATGCGGGCCGGGGGGGTGGTGGTGGTGGTGTGCTAGCTCCCGTGCTTGTGCCTTTGCCGATGTCATCAGTCCAATTCTAGGGCCACAGGAAGCCTCGCTCGTGCTACGACAAGGTGGTGACTATGCATCCGCACAAAAGCGGCTCAAGGTATTGCGGGGGAATAAAAAAGAGGAAAAGGGGGGTGCAGCACATTAAAAAATAATAATAATAATCTTAAAGTTCATCATAATATAAGACTCAATGTGACAACTTATTTATGTAAAGGTGCTAAGTGGTCCCTTTTGAGATTCAACCAATTTTCAAAATTTTCCCTTCTTAAATTGCTTTCTTGTAGAGTAAACTTGAACTGCTTATGCCCTGCATGACTCTTGTGTGAGTGGTGCCTAGAGTGCAATATTGACTATTCATAAGTCAAAGAAGAAAGGACAAAATATCATGGTTGGTGTTGCAAGCATAAAAGGGTGGGAGTAAAATGTTAGTGTGAAAATTAGTCACCTCCTGGCTCATGCCTCACTGCGAACTTTACTTGGCTGATGTTGAGTTGTCTTTGTTTGGTGTAACGCGGGTTAAATTATGGTTGGTATGAGACTTATTGGATTATTGGAGACTTTGTGTTCCAGAAAGTGCTAAGAAGATTTGGGACGGCCCCAACGGATTTTATGTAGAATATTTGGAAGAAGAGAATGTAGACATTACCAGAAATTGAAGTTTTTGATCATTGTTTCCCTTTTACTTTGGCTTTATTTGTTGGCCTTTTTGTCCACATAATCTTTTCTTAAGTATTTAGGTGATATGTATTTCTTAAATTAAGTTGGTTCTCACACCATACTTCCCCTGCACTTGGGCCGATTCCCTCTTTCTAGTGCTATTAATTGAATTTTAGTTATTAAAAAAAAAATAAATAATAATAATCCAAGAGAAACTACTCTAGATTTGACCAAGGAAAATTACTTTCCAAAAAGACGCATTTATTGGGGTTTTTGAAACAAATATCTTCTTCAAAGGACGCTCTCAATTCATCCTTAGCATATTTTAAATATGGATCACAGCATTTATTGCATGTTACAAAAAGGTGTAACATGATGCATGCTTCTTTTTAGCTAATAATGACGGAATTTTCTTCAAGAGAGACCATACATCATCATTGTTGTAACTTCAGAATGATCTGAAAGCATCACTGCTCAATTTCAGATAGCATAAAACTAGCAGTTAGTGTACCATGATCATAAAAACCAAAAAGGAACTCAACACCCTAAAGATTAAAATGCGTAAGCATCTGAACATACCAAAGAGACGTAGTAGATGTTCAGCACCATATATACTTGATGGAGAGACTTTATCTGCAACTGCATCATGATATTGTTGTCGTTCTTTCTTGTATAAAAGAATAACTGGCAATGCTTTGTCAAAGTAACAGCGTAATCCATTCAAAATTTCTTTGACCGAATCAGTCATCCTGTACCCAAGAAAAATGTAATGACGATAATAAATCCTGCCTCCTACAAAGTGATCCTAATTCCAAGAAATCAGATGCATGCAATCATGGTGCCAGCAAAGGCAAACACAGAAAGAGGGCAAGGCAAAATGCCTCCCTGGATTAGGAAGAAATCCACACCGAGTGCATTGTCACCTGCCTATCAGGGGTAGTTTAGTTGAACAGGTACAAAACCTAAAATAAGAAAATAAAGAAAAAAAGGTGCTAAATGTGCTATGTCTTTTGAACTTAATGTGGCAACTGGTTCCAGTTCGGTTCGTTATTGATTTCTTAGAATAAATCCGGTTCGACACAATTTTAGGTTTCTGTCCACCTCAGAGGTAATCAACCTCTGAAAAGGTAGGATTCAACTCGTGTTGGGTCTTAAGCAATCAAGTGTGGGAAAAAAGGTTGGTTTTGTCAATGAATGTTAGATGTCTTATTTCAATAAAATTATATATATATATATATATATATATATATATATACTTTTTTTTGTGAATGAAAGCAACAGAGCCAAAATTCTATATATATATATATACTTTTTTTGTGAATGAAAGCAACAGAGTCGAAATTGATGGAGAGAATCAAAATAGATGAATGTCTATCTACTCATTTTCCTTTTAACTATGTTAGAAAAATAGGATCAACAGATATGGGACAGAGAGTTGCCAATTTCACTTTGGAGGTTTTTTTATCTTTTCTTTTTCTTCATTAAAATGTTATAATAATGCGCAAATAATTTGAAAAAAATTGGATGGTTTGATATTCTATTAAATTGTAATTGACAAGAATTAAGATTCTAAAGAAAGGCAAGAATACTATGGAGATACTTGGTAGTAACCTTTGGAAATAATGACAGTGGCTAATATTTTTGTGTTTATGTTACTACTTTTTGACTATTGATTCCCCTCCTTCCTCCTTATATCATCCCATCCCTGCCCGAGTTATGTACACTAAACCTCAGAACAAAAATATCATAAAATTTGCATCTAGAGAAAACTTGCGTGCTCTACATCTATGCATGCAAGAAGAGAGACACCAACAACTCAGGCTGCAACTCAGTAGGGCCCCTTCTTTGCTCGTGTTCTACATAACTTGTGCAACCATCCCCAAAGATCCACTAGGCTATGGAAATCCTCAGATTTCACAAGCCACAATATCAAAATAATTTTGTTCTTGCTATAACAAGTTCAAGTTGTCCACATAAGTCAGTACTATCCCTTGGAAGTAAATCTATCAGCAAATAATTTTCAACAAACCAACTAGGTGGAAAAAATCAAGTTCTGAATGGTGCAGTTATCTAAGAGCTATACTTACTAAGCAAGCTTTGAACAGGATCAATCTATGATTTTTTGCACAGTTTCTCCCCAAAAGCCATATATAATTCCAACAATAATTAGAATAGACAAGCATGTAGTTACAAATGCATTACCTAGTATATGTCGTTCCTATACAGTGTGCTGGGAGAGAAGACCAGAGACAAACCTAACCTTTATTTTACACAAAGTGGCTACTCTCAGACTTTAGACATGAAACCCCAAATTTGATGATCTAAGTTTTTTTACCACTGCACAAAAAAATGACCCCTAGAATAGACAGCTACATATATAGAATAAAGTAGCAATTTCAACACGAGTGATTGGATGAAGGTAGCTACAAAACCAATCCCATATCAACATGAACTTGTTCAAGTATTTTGCTAGAATAGTGTAAATAGATCTAGACAATAACAAAGGTCTTGACAGTCTAAGTTGAGTGGCTCTAATTCCCAAATTATATGGAGATGTCAAAGGTCTATGAGTTTATTGATTTAAATCAGGAATGATGATGGAAATATTAAGCATTGTTTATCTATTCCAGAACATAAATTAATTTTTGAACATGTTTTTGTAAATCAGAAATAAAGAAATATTAAGTCCAGTTGGATAGAATTGTGGATCTCCAATCTAAGGGGCGTGAAAAGATTCCACTACAAGGTGACAGCTGAAACCTAATAAAATGAAACTGAGCAAGGGGATCTGGAAACAAGAATCACGAAATGTCAATAGATAATTTCAGCAATGTTATATATCTGCCGTCTAGCCCACCAAAATCTGATTGATCCAATTTAAACCTTATAAAATCTAGCAATATTGTAACAAGCAGCTGAAACATATGTTCCGTTTCCTAAATACTAACATCTTACTAAAACGTGGTCTTTCAAAAGGAGACTGAGTGTATGAAAAAATGGCAAGTCAAATTCACAAGCACAACACCAGAAGTTATTCTATCAATTAAGTTAAAAATGAATGCATGCAATCCAAACAGGAGACCAGTAAAACTTACATGCCATCCTTCTTTGACCTGTATTCAAGGTACTTTGTCAATATATCATCAACATTAGGAGAACGTGGAAGTTTAACAAGCTGCCAAAAAAAAAAAAAAGAAAAGGATTCTCCAATTAATTGGCATTTAAGTAATCAATTACATTCAGTAAAAATATGTAGACATGACACAAAGGGGCCAACTTAAACAAAATTATGTTAGCCTTGAACCAATAATAGATTCGCAATTTTGATGATCACAATCTATTAATGCGATATTTAATTATCTGCTTGAATATGTTGCATTTCAGAATAGCTCGATAGGTCAGGATCATCAAGTATCAAGATGCTGGTCTCTGATAAGGAACTCAAGCTTTGACAGATTCCATGATAAATGCATATATGAAATTCCTGGTCTTTATGAGCAAGGAAGCGAAAAATAAGATCAAAATCAAAACCACAGTCTGGGTATATTAAGTGGGTGAGAGCTAGAATTCTTGCACTGGAATTGATATTACAACTTGATTCTAAAAGCTCAACTCTTGACCTTGACAAATAGAATACATCCTATACCAAACCAATGATCCAACCATCTGACAGTTATTGAGCCATTGATCTACTTGACCAGGTCTTCAGTTAAATAGAGTCATTGACTATTTGACCGAACCAAAAAGTTTATATCTTTTCTAGATCACCCTCCAGCATTCAATTATTATACTTGAAATTCGAAATTAAAAATGACAGAAGGATAGTCTGGTAATTTACCCCATTAAATGCAAGTCATTTTTCCATTAAATGCTTTAGTACTTTAGTATCTTAGGATTAGATCTCAAAGATCCTTTGAATAGATTTCAAATACTTATAAAATTAGATCTCAAATATCTATAGAATAGGTTTCAAAATATCTAAAGCTAGATTTTAAGTATCTTAGGATTAGATTTCCTCTGAGCATATCAGATGTAATGATCTCTTTGAGATTTGTTTTTCCAGCCAATACGTGAAACACGTGTCTAAACAAACCAAGACATCTTACATACAGGGAACCTAAAAATTAGCCTTGAAAGTATCAAGAGAGAAGACGTCCTCATGTCTTAAAAATGACGTCTCTTAAAACAAATACTTGCCCCTGTCTCTTATAAATAGATAAGATTTAACCCCTTATAGACTACGAAAAACAAACAAACAAACAAAAAGACTGAAACAAATCCCTTCAACCTCTACACAAAGTCAACTCACAAACTTTCATCAATGAGAATGTTTCTTGATCTCCAACAACTACACTTACACTCTGAGCTCAAACATTTTTATTTCTCTTTTCAGTGCTCACTCACTCGAGGAAAAGAGCTGCTCACTTAACGAACTCATTTGATTTGTGAGACTTTAATACACCCTGCCTTGAGTTGAGCTTTGAGCAATTTGTTCTACCATTTCCTCAAGGCTGAAAGAGCTGTATTTTTCTTTTTATTTTTCCTGAGGACACTGGTTATGGTTTTCAAACACTGAAGAAGTAATAGTTCTGTGTGTTTGAAAACCCAAAAGAAGTCTCAGTGAGGCACTCACTGAGCAACTGTCTACGAGCTTGAGAGCTGCGTTAAGGGTTACTCTTCACCTTGATCGAAGAATTTGTAAGGGGGTTTGCTTTTCATCCAAAGAAGAGCATTTTGAGTGAAATCTCGAGAGGTGCTCTTGAATTGTAGAAATATGCAAGAAGGGCTTGCCAAACCAGTAAATCCTGGTGTTCTTATGGTTGTATTTCTCTACCCTATCTTGCATTACTTTCATATAACCTGAACACTGCACGTAACTTTAAGAGATTAACTAAATCTGCTTACATCATTTAGATAACAAAATTGAAAACTGAAAATTTTACTATAGCTTGCTAAAAGACCATATTCAACACCCCCACCCCCCTTCTCTATCTCTAGGGTTCTTGTTTGGGCAACAAGTTAGAATATGTACTTGAGCACCATGCCACTAATACAGATAATCTTAAATGAAAGAATAGTTCACTGGACCAACAAAAGATAAAGAATACAGATCTTTGCACTTCAAATGGTTGCACAAAAAACGAATGCATCATATAGACCAACAAAAGAACGTCCCACGCCTAAGAAAAATAGCACAACAATACTTGAAAGTAGACAAGCCGTTCAACAACCTATAATCCAAAGAAATTAATAATATACAAATAAATGAACACTATGAAGGGAAATAGATCTTCATAACCCATTCCCATACTTTTGAGTGTTGTGACTGGCTAAACATAAAAATGACCAAAATCTACGAGTTCACTGGATGATATTTGGATATTCCATAAAAGGTATTATAAACCGTCTGATTGATATATACTTGCAACGAAAAGAGTTATAATCCTCATAAGTTTATCAGTGGCTTGCTAGTAAAATGCACTTTTAATTGATGGATCCATACAAATTATGGTCAAGTGAATCAAAGAAATAAATCAAGGTCACATGCAATGGTGAGACAAAGTTGTAGCAAACTAAAATCTCAGGAGCCAATAGAAAAGGAAAGGGAAAAAGATTCCCATAGTAGCAACAAGCAAAACAATAGTAGCCTAGACTGTGAAAATCATTTGTGGCGAAGTAACAGAAGCATTTTTGGCAGCGCGGCAAAGCAGAGGAGTGCAACACCTTGGACCTTGGACAAGCACGGTCCAGTAGCAAAGATTATTACTAATTTATTCTTTGGGCAAGGTAGCATAGGGTGGAACTCTTCCTGAAAAAGGATGAACAATGCTCTTACTTCAAGAAAGAAATCACGGGTCTCTTCAGTACAAATAGTTGATAACTTGATCAAATGATCCCCAAATTACATAGCGATTACCAAGAAGAATGAACTGATGACTTTCACATACTACACATTTTCTGCAATAGATGTAGAGTTATCTAATTTGACTTGACAACATTACTAAGACAAGAGGTAGAATACTGGACAGGGTTTAAGTGAAGACATGATACTTGAGCTTGAACAAATAGATAAGGTCCTGGATGCAGATAGCAAAGAAGATCTCGTGATCAATCCAGACACGATAGGCTAAGGCTAGTCCATTTATGGTTGAGTTGAGGAACAAGGCATTGGCCTTCAAGTATTAGCAATAAACAACTCAATGGATGCACCAAAATAGCTATTTGCTCTATAAATACAATACAACTTTTATTTTAACTCCAAGAAAGAAAAAAAATACATATATATTTTCAAGCATCATTAAATGACAAGGTTACTAAGTGATCAATCCAAACAGGATAGGCTAAGGCTAGTCCATTTATGGTTGAGTTGAGGAAAAAGGCATTGGCCTTCAAGTATTAGCAATAAACAACTCAATGGATGCAACAAAATAGCTATTTTCTCTATAAATACAATACAACTTTTATTTTTAACTCCAAGGAAAAAAAAAAAAAACATACATATATATTTTCAAGCATCATTAAATGAAAAGGTTACTCAGCGTCGAACAGCTATAAGTAGATTACCTTATCCTGCTGAATAACGAATTCCCAGTCATCAACTAGTTGCTTCTTTAGAGTTGATGGAATTTGAATCTTCACAAGCTTTTCTGTTGATATATTATCCTTCTAATAACAACAAAACCCACAATTTGCCCATAAAGATCAGAAGAAACTTACTAACAAGCTTAAAAAGAGCTGCAAAGAATATTTTTCAATTTATAGATGAAGTATAGCTGTAATTGTATATGTGCCAGTGCGCACAATTTCGCCTCGATTAAGAGAGGATAAACACAAAAACCAATTCACAAAACAAGAAAAGTTCCTGTTCCAGTTCCAGTGAGGCCTAGAACTATAGGAGGAAATTCGTTTTTCCATATATAATAAAATTGGGGATTGAGGCTATATAAGTCTCACACATCTATGTGTATTTGTGTGTATGCATGTACATTTGAATGTATGTTGAACAAATTTTCACTTTCTTAAAGCACGGTTTATCATAAATTCAAGCAGATTACACTCTGAATTATGTAAAAGCTAGGAGCAAAGAGACACCAACTATGTTGAGTTCAGAAAAGAAACAATTTTTAACCAAGTTGGAAACACATAAAAGTATAAAATCATGCTACCATATGCATTTGTAATAGGTGACTCGGTCAGAGAACAGGCATTTATCTCACAAAGTCAAGCCTTGCAAAAATTTTAGACCACAGCCTGATTTTATAAAGACCAATAGATTTAATATTAATTTTCATACTGATTGAGAGGTAATAACGAACCATATTCATATTGACACCAATAATCACCCTCATGAATGACATCTAAGTCTACCCAATAAGAACCAGCATATGCATTCTTTCTGGATCTGAAACTAAAAGCCACTTAGTACGATGAAATGGATCAGATAAATAAGGACACGCATATATCAGTCTTCGTGGGTCTGCGAGTACAGGCCACTTGGTTAGAGCATATTTTAGTGCAAACATGAAAATTCTTTCCTTGTGTCTAATCTTTCTGAACTTAATGTTTACCCTATTTTTTTTCTCTTAAGTGAATTAGCAAACCAGTGGAAGGAGACTCAATGTTTAAAATGCAGCTGACAAGCAAAAGCCTTGGTAAGCTTTTGACACTGAGAATATGTGACAGAATAGTTGTAAATTGTAATACTAACACATAAGCCAGAAATATAGTTTAATACTTTTTTTATATGGTTATTCATCCTTTAACCACATTGATATGAAAAAGGAAATAAAATAAAAATTCTTGATTTTTACTGGGGAATGTCTACTTATCTGGAATTCTAATATATCCCTAAAGTCTGTCTCATAAGAACTATTTTATGGAATCCAAGAGAATTTTCATTAATAAATTAAAAGAAAACTTCATTAAGAGCCTTATGGACTGAGTTTAACAAGCTGTTTTATTAAATAAGTCTGCTTTCCAAATCACGAAGCCAAAACTGAGTTAAGCATTAATCAGCTACCAAAGATGTCAATTTTGCAAATATCATTAGATTTCTTTTTATCATAGCATATTTTTGACAGCATTTGGCACATCAGCTTCCTTGAAAATTTTAGGATCAGTAAAAACCAGCACCAAACTCAAATATTTCATGAATTAACAGAATCATACCAAAGAAATTTGTTGACTCTCCCTTAAACAATTTACAAAATGAAAACCGACACAGCAGTTAAATATCAAACCAGAGAATGAAAATAAGTGTTTTGAGATGCAATATGTATTAATAGATGAAAGCATACCTCAGCACCTGATTCGCTCTTCCGCTTCTTCCCTTTGGCCACTGCACAATATCAAAATAAAACTAAGCATGTCAATTTTCTACAATAGGTTGAAAATTGGACAATTTGGAAATCACAAATACTGTAAACCTTTGGCAACCACAAAATTCAATTTACATATGAGGATGATAGAATGTAACTCACGAGCAATATCTAAAGCATGTATTAGACAAAAGTTTAGGTTTATTGTGTAAAACAACATAGGATGACAAAAGGTAGAGAAAGACAGCTAAAGTAACCTTGGGACCACACAAGGAAAATAGAATCATAAAAGTATGACCACCCCTACATAGAATACACTTAGAAAAATTTATTCCCACCTGTAGAAAATAGAAATAAGAGGTCAATAAGTGCTTTCAAATCTACAAAACAAACATTAAAGGATGAGGCACAAATAATTTACTCACTTACTCCCGATACAAATTCAGAGCTGAAGCCTCATGTTGGAAAGGGAGAAAGAAGGAACTTACTTCACTAATGCTCCATTTGGAAGGAGGGATGGAAAAATGGATGGAAGGAAGAGGGGGAGGGATCGATGAGGCATGTCTAGAGAAGGGATGGTGTCTGCCTCACTTTTTGTTTGGTAGGACGGAAGGAATAATGGAAAGGATGGACAATGTGACACCTTATTTTGTTTGGTTGTAAGGGAAGAAGAGTTTTTATAATTTTGTAGATAATTTAAAGCTAAACATGGTATTTTATATGCATCAATTAGTTTTCCTATCTTCTCCTCCTCTCTTCCGCCCAATTTTGGGTGGATGAGAAAATGTGGGTTAGGAGGGATGCTTCATCCCTCCTTGCTTCCTTCCTCTCTTCCCTTCCTTCCAACCAAAGGTATCATAAGAGAATAGGAAAGCAGAAAGCTGAGGTGGAAAATTTTCATCTCTAAAGTAAAATAAAATTGGACACAACCTACATAAAAATTTGTAACATGAATTTCAGCTACGATAACCTACAGGAAAAAAAAATAAATAAATAAAACCCAGCTACGATTACGGTCTACAGATTAATATACTCCATGGATTTATAGAGATCAAAAAAGATCATATCATTAAATTGTTAACCATTGTGAGTATTTTTTTGATAAGTAATCCAACCACTCGGGTATTAACCATTGTGAGAATTAGAACCTAGTGTAGGCAAATTTCGTAACAAAAGCCGTAGTTTGTATTTTTGTTTTAACTTTTGGTTAGATTTTCAAAAGTTAATTTAGTTAGTTAGTTGGTGGTGGTACCCATCTCCAAGCTCAACAAAAAATTTGGAAAATAAGTAGGAAGTATACTCAAATGAACTTGACTGAACAAAATTTATGTCAGGTCTAGTCAATATACACATGAACAAATTGCAGCGCAGGAGGCAAAAATAAATAAATAAATATTGCAGCTTAGCCAATACTTATTAATAAATATTTTTTAAATAATATATATAATTTAGAGCCAAGCACTTCTTCTATTATGTGCAGGTTAACCAAATTACCCAATGGTTTTCAGATGAGATCAAGATTCATTTATTGTTCTAGAAAATATTACGCAAAGTGCCAGTTTTTCCTTCTTTTTATTTTAATTACAATAATATTAACTTAAATCTGACCGATTCTGAAATCATACTCCCAATAATTATCAACAAAGTGATTATATATGAAACAAGTTTACCGGAAATACAAAGTAGGAAATAGATACACTTTTGAAAGATAACCAGGACCCCAATCGAGAAAAATAACTTGAAAATGAAGTAGCTAAAATCTAAACAAAAGGAACAACAACAATGACCATTGACATATCATAATGATCCAGGTCATTTTTAAAATTAAATATTAGAGAACAATAAGTCAACTATGAATAAGAAAAACAATTAGTTAAAATTTAAAAAGAAAGAAAAGAAATAAGGAAAAAATGCACTACCGTTATTTTTTGTGTCATCTTTATCCGCTTTTACATCTGAAAATTCCAAAAAAAGAAAAGTTATCAACATGGGAATTTACAAGAAGATGCACTCAGCATAAGCATCAACTTTCCTATAATTGGCACTTTCAGACTAAGGAAATGAAATAGGGAAAAAGTAAAAGTATAATTTTCTGCATGAATTCAATGTGTATGATGGCAAATGAAAGAAAAGAAAATTTGTTTGCATAAACTGGTAAGGACACAATGAAAAGGCACAACCTTAATCTTAGAAATTCAACAAAGAAAATTACTTTGATACAGTGAAACATGATGCTTTAAGTAAAGACAGAGACAGGTTCCAAGTTCCCATCATGGTGGTTGTCCAAAAGTGTAGAAATATCAGCAGAAAAGAAGATTTTTTTTTAGAGAAAAAAAAAAATCTACCAGTGTGGTTAACACTCACTAATGCCACCTGCGCTCCTTGTTAATTTAAAAGACTCTCTAGGTGATCATCTTAGTGGTGAGCTTCCATTAGATCGTGGCTAAAATTATCGCCGGATGGCCCATAACTCCCTAAGATGATAGTTAAAGCTCCTGTTTCCTGAGAAACAGATGCCTTTCCAACAGTTCTATTCTACAACACGAATGAAGAACAATGAAAGTACCCTCAGTGAGTGTAGTATTATCACCGAGATAACTACAATGAAGAACTACTGAAAATGATTGGATCATGTGTTGAGGAAGAAGAGGTTGGAAAAAAAAAAAAAAAAAAAAGAGAAGAAGAAGAGCCTTGGAGAGGAAGTGAATAATCGATATCAAAGGTCTTCAATCCCATAAGAAAATTCTTGAAATAAAAACTGATTGACCTCCCGAATAGCTTAAAACATTGTCTAGGAAGCAATGCATGTGATGTTGTGGCCCGAATTTGGTGCTAGGTCGCATTGTGGCCCTCTTGCGACCCGACCACCCGTTTTGCTCATGGGTCGTGGACCCTAATTAGTACTCTCATGTAGCCCGATATATAAGGGCACTTAGGGTTTGGAGTGTGATGATCAACAGACACTGAAAATCATACAGATAGAGAGTGAGGGGCTGAAACTTGTAATCTCCGATTTTACACATAGTGAAGACTTTCGCCGAATCTCCACCGTGGACGTAGGCTTTGCTGAACCACGCATAAATCTTTGTGTTCTACGTGTGGTATGTTTATTTTCCTGTCGTGTTTCGTAATTGTTGCTTGGTTCGCTACATTTGTCGTAACAATGCCCTTTGGTTCAATAATCTTCTAATAAGAAAATAAAATTAACAAGCATGAGAACTCCTAACGAATAGTTGTGTCAACTTCTAACATTTCATAAAAAGCTTCCACAAGACAAGACTTATGTTGATTGTGCTTCAGAAATTTCTGAGTGTCTAAGATTAATTTAGCAATTCTAAAAAGATACATGCCTACAAGGTCCGACATGCCCAAGTCTTCTTTTAACATGGACAAGCATTATAGTGGTAACAATCATAATTGGCCACCGCCAATCCACTGCAAAAGCAGAATTCAAAATTATGGCACACAGAGTGCAGATTTAGGTTTGATAGAACAAGGCCTGAGAGGCTTCATCGCAGCAATAAAGGAATATTAACAATGCTCAAATATTCTAAGTAAAAAAATAAAAATTTAAAAGGAGAATTTGAGTGTGGTACTGAAGATCCACAATGGGGCTATTGACTTATTAAGACAATTAGTTGAAGAGTGTAGGAGTAAGCAAAAACATCTACATATGATTTTCATAGATTTAGAAACAGCTTATGATAGGGTACCATGAGGTATACACAGTCACTAACATGCACTCAAACACATGAATACACAACCCTAAACCAGAATGAATATGTGCAATGGTAAAACTACTATTGGAACACCTAATAAACGGATCTTCAAGTTGATCAGGAGTAGAGCTACCAGTCGAGCTTTTCGGCCTTGTTTGTGTTGAGCGCCCTGATTTTGGATTCTTGTCCACACCCTGTTTTTTGTCTAGGGCCTGCTGCTTCAGGACATTCTCATCAGTATTTTTCATCAAGCGATCCATGCCTACCCATTCATCCCAACTGTTGCCAAGATATCCAAGCTTCATTAACTATTTTTCAGAGCTTTTGTCAATTAACAAAATTCAATCAGAAATAAAATTGCAGTAGCTTTAATAGGCATAAACTCAATAAACCCCAAAGAATTTTGTCACTATTGGGCATAAAGTGTAAGAAGGGATCCAAGATATTCTTGGTTTTGTGCATCTAATCCAAGATCCCCTTGGCCTGCAGGTACTAGTTCTTCCTATAATTCTTTTTTGAGGTCAAGTAATCCCATAACTTTCTTTGCTCTTTTTCACAAGTAAAAATCTAAAATTAGTTATGTTGTTTTGCAGCAAATTCTTAAGGCGGCAGGACATGTTCATTAGATCTGGAACATTGAGTTGCTATTCCTAATGAGAAAACTTTGTTCCATTTGCATACTGTCCATAACACGCATTGGAATTTATACATGATAGCTGCAAACAACCAAGCAGGGAAGAGCAGAATTATACCTAAATGAACATAATTTCCATGCAATTGGTTATGCATAGTTAATGTCATATAACACAGTAAACATCTTTATGTTATAAGTTATATGTATTGAGCAAGAGAATTACAATACTTTTTACCATAAAAAGTGTTAAATAGAGGAACCAAGACACTAGATGTGTTACATGTGTAGAGGCAGGTTAGTTAATGAAATCCCTTAATGTTCAACCTAAGTGTAGATCAATAGCATAAAGTGTTGAAAAAAAAAAAACCCATGGCTGATTATTATTCTGTCCATCCATTCCAATTTGTTAATCTTTCCTTCTTTGGCTATCAGAAAATACTTGTCCATTTGAAAAGTCAAGGTGAGATAATTGCATCTTTCCATAAACACCCTTTAAGTTTTAAAAAATTTCCCAACTTGACTATATATATATATATATATATATATAAACTTCAAAGGGTAACTTGGGAATTTCAAAAGACGACAATGTATTTCCCCTTGAAAAGTTAGAATACCAAAAAGTGACTAATAAATTGGAACAGAAGGAGTAATTAAGAAACTGCTACTGCCTATAATCCCCAGAAATTTGGCTAAGTATCACAGGGTGAGGGGTTCCTCAAACCAGAGAGAAACCCTGCCGATTATAACCTACATATGTATTTGGGGCAAAAGAGATTCTTTTGGCATCTCTATTTGCACTAATTTTGTTAAACAAATGTAATATTGGTAACGAACATAAAATCCTCGAAGAAAAAATAAAAAAATAATATATATAAACTTGAATTGATCATGTGAAGTGAATAGTGTAGTCAGACAAACAATAAGAAGACTAAAAGCAACACATATTTAAGACAATACATCAGAAATGTGGGGTAAGTGGTAACCTCACCTAGATATCGCCCAGCAATTAAGGACAGTTTGATTTAGACAAATAAAACTCTCAGTATCAATCTGGGGATTCAGTCAAGCTTTATTTAAACCAAACACTGAAATTCAGTATGACAACCAACCCCAAAAGCCCTAAATGCAAAATAATTGGTAGCAGGACGACTATGTACAGGTTCATTGGTTCACTATGCAGCAATGGCTTACCTGAAACCAATATTCATAATGACAAAACATCAAAACCTATATACAAACACACATGCAACACAGGGATAGTCGTTAAAGGCTCAAGGCGCCAGAGCTCTTCTAGAGCCTAAGCGCTAGGCGCGATATAAGGCGAGCCTAATCAATGTAAAGCATGTGTGTGATATTAGTGCATACTAAATATAAGTAAATGAAATAAATAAGCTATGCAAAAAGAACTAGTCAATAGCTGTTTTATATAATTTACAACATTCTATCCAATAAAGTATGGAAAGGCTTAATAGCTGCTTTATATAATCTACTTTTCGATTTTAGAGCATGTGGGGGTTACATAGATATGCCAAAAGCACTCCTCTGTTTAAACCATCCTGCTATAGTTATATGATTAACATTAAATTCATATTCTACCTCTTTGTGAATAATCGAATAGGTGAGAAAAACTTTTACATTTTACCATACCAAAACAAAATCCTGTGAAAAGCAAAATGAAACCCACCAAAAAAAAAAGAATAGGAGAAGGAACTTTAAGACAATAAAGCTTGGAAATATTAGAAGATAAGGACAAAGGATGACCTTTAGATCTTGCATTCTCTTCCTAATTCAGTGCTAGAATCTTTCTGAAATTCTGTAAAAATAAGACAAATAGAACAGAAAGCATACTCACTTTTTATTCCAACCCTGCAAAACATAAAAGGGTATATCACTTGATGCCATACAGGGAATTACTTTATTTACCCTACAAAAAAACAAGCAGAATTTAGGCTAAAATATAAAACCATTGCTCAAAAGAGTTACCGATGAATTGGCTTAAAGAAGGGAAGGGGGAAAAATCACACTTACCAGGTAATGAACGAAGTATCTCCATTCTGTCTTCCAAAACTCAGCTTTTTGAACCTTACAAATAAAAAGCATAAGATGGATTAGAATGGGTCTTGACATTAACCAATACTACATTGCATCAATGAAAACAATTTTCCATCTTCAGCAACTTCAAAGAGAAGCCACTTTACAAAACTAAGTCAACATAATGCATAATGCTTCCCCTCTTAACAATTCTGCAAAATCTGATGCCACAATGAGGTAGTGTAAAAAAAAATTAATAATTACTGAACATATTGCCAACAACCCTCTTATAATAAAATTATGGAGTCCAAAAGTAACTTGCTAGTCGAAACTACAAGTATATTAGCAAAACCGAGGGTGGTAAAAAGAAGCAAAATGGAACAGCAACTATTGGCCCCACTAATGAAATAGTTAATGGCACAGCACTGCCAACCAGATAACTTAAAGGTTATACCTCTATAGAGCATATTTGGTGCAAAATCTTAAGTATGCTCTATAAAAAAAATCAAATGATATCGGCTTCAAAGTAGAAGTGAGTACCACTCCACAAAAAAGGCACTTTTTCATCATCACACTGCTTAGCAAAATTAGCACGAAAAAAAACTTACACAACATATTCTGTTTATGAGAAAAACACATATGATGTTGAATTATCGCCAATTTCATCATCCTCAAATTTGAAAAGAACTTAAGTTACTTAATAGCAAAATTCGTTAATACTCAAGTTAAACTACCTGAAGAAATCTGCAATCGATATGTTTGATAGCAATTGAGATACAGGCCGTTGCTTAAGGCTCTGATATGTCAAAGTACGCTAAGCTCAAAACAGATCGAGATGGGTGAATAGAATTTGTCCGATTTTAACCAACAATAACTGCTTTTTAAATTCTAGCCATTTATTTAAAATCGGTAATATGAATCATTTAGATATAAGTATTTAAGTATAGAGTGAAAAAAATAAAATATGAAGCAATCACACAAAAAAAACACACCAGGTGATGTAAAAAACCTAGATGGAAAAAAGACCAAGTCCAGGTAGATCAATCTACTAACAGGAAAAGGTAACACAACCCCTACACTTCACTCGAGCTTTGATGTCGACAGTCAACGAATATGCTCCTTGTGTGATCTGCTCTTCAATCTATGCTTTGATCTCCTTTACTAGTCATCCGATCCGACCCTTGTGTAATCTAAGCTCCACAAGTTAATGAACAAAACTCTGGATAACAACTCACCATCTACTGCAAGATGATGAAAAGAAAAATATGCATTCTATGTGCCTATATACTCTAAATGCACCGCTCTAGATGTGTATGTATTCTGTCTTCTTCCTTTTTCATAATTTATGTATTCTGTCTATCTTATTATTATTATTATTTGGACAAGTATTCATTCAAAAGCGCCCAAAAGGGGGGCACAGCCTGGAACAATTGCACGAAAACTATAGCCTCAAGCTATCCACAAAAGCCACAAAATTCTCCATAGATTTACAATTACAACCTTGAACCCAAAAGAATAAAGAACTAAGCACAGAACATCTAACTACCCCCAAGGAGACTCCACCCCATCGAAGGATCTACTATTCCTCTCCTTCCGAAGAGGCCACCACAAGCAAAGGGGGTTGCTCTACAAACACGGCAATCACCCCAAGAATCAATCAGGCCCACCACAGACTCAGGCATGGCCCACTGGATCCCAAAAACAGTGCAAAGCATATCCCAACCATCCCTAACTCTGGGACAATGAAGGAGCAGATAATCCACATACTCGCCAGCACGCTTGCACATACAAAGTCAGAATGGGGAAATGGGATGATCCAGATTTATCACACCCCGATTGACAGTAATCTAACGTCTCCTTCCCAGATTGTAAATGGTTAGGATCCTCCCCAAAGCCGCTGTCCAAGCAAAAAAAGCCACTTCAGGGGGCCTCACAAACGCCAAATTCCTTTCCACGAAAAGGACACCCCCTGAGAATCCATCAGCCAGCAATAGAACGAGCAGACCTCAAACCTCCCGTGACCCGTCCCTGCCTAGAGCCACTCATCTGTCCCTCTCCAGAAACCGACTGACTATAAAGAACAGCCATAAACCAACCATCTCCTCCACCTCTCAATCCTCCAAAAGCCTCTCGAACTGCGCATTCCAAGACAATCTCCCGCCATCAAGATGGCAGGAGCGAGCAACTAACACCTACCTATCCCTTGCAATCCCAACCAGTCTCAGAAAGGCTCCCACAAGCGACCTCTCTTTGTACCAAACGTCTGTTGAGAAATGGCTATTTTAAAATTGTGGAAGCATGTAAAAAATCCCAAGGAGGTGTTGTCATCCCAAAAACTGACAAGGAACCCACTCTCTTTTTTTAAAATCATACTCTACACTAACTATAAGCATATAATATATTAAATAGGAAATTAACAGTAATTAGAAGACTTCTTCTCTTAAGTTTCCAAATCATTATTTTCTTGATTGATCGATTGAAGCAAAGTTCGAGCAATCGAATGTATTTCAGTAGCCTTTGAGTCATGGGACCAACAAGTTCGATCAATCCATACAAGAGCTTATTCCAGCGAGGTTCGAGCTCGCTCAAACTATCCCTTGAAGCATATTGTTTTTCAATCAACACCTATTCAAAAATGTCGAATCGATCCATCATAATTTCGATCAATCAATGAGCTATATATGGATCACTTAGGTTATTCTGATCAAAAAAACGTTTATACATTCAAAGCAACTTTTTGATGAATCAAATTATGTATGCAATGAGCCCTAATATGAATAATGATATTGTTAGCATATATGATATCCACAATTTATAGAATGACTTACCATAATAGCAGAGATTTGACTATGCATATGTTAGCATATATGATAGCCACAATTTATGGAATGACTTACCATATTAGCAGAGATTTGATTATGCTATAGAATATGCCTTAGAATATGTTGTGATTTGATTTAGATCTAATTTAGTTTCATTTCTTGTAATATGAGCATGTGCTCTTTCTTTTCTATAAATACTAGAGTTGTGAATGAGTGATTCATCTCATTCAAGCCTTTACATAATTCTCTCCTTTTTCTTCTTTTTATATTTCTACTGATATGAATGCATAAAATAAAAACCAACAACTGGCGGAGTCTGTAATTTTTATTCTATTCAGAGTGCATTAATCCGAAGTAAATTCTAACCGTAACTAACTAAACCCACTTTTGAAAAAAAAAAAAAATATATATATATATATATATATATATAGAGAGAGAGAGAGAGAGAGAGAGAGAGAGACCCTGTCTTTTGTAACAAAATTAGCCATCACTAAGTTCTAATATTCTCACACTATCCTTATAAAAATATGTAAGGAGAAATTTTTTTTGAGTGTTAAAATACTACATCTTGAGTTCTCTATTGTTTTGTATTACAGGGTGGCAATGTAAATCTGTGGAGGACTTTGTAATTTTGTAGATAGTTTGAGATTATTTGAGATTATAATGGTTTATAGTGGTTTTAGTGCAGATTTTTTTGGGCGAGCTCCCCTTTGAGGGTTCTTTAATGAAATCATATTTATCAAATATATATATATAAATATCAGGAGAAAAAGAGAACCTCCTAGTGTCCAGGAAGTATCTATTTGGTTCACTTCACAAAAAAATGTTTCCAAGAGCTGCATTCTGTACTGAAAGAACTGAAAAAAGAAAATAGTATGAACATTTGTTTGATTGACTGTATTCTGAAAACTATTTTCTGAATTTTCAGAAAACAAAGACCATAATTCATATTTTAGTTCATTGAAAACTGTTTTTTTCTTTTCATTGTAATTGACAGATGTAAGATTCTGAATTCTAAGTTACAAAGTTAAGGTGACTTTGCCACATTTTTTACTAACTAAACAACATGAAACCTAACCTAAAACTTTCTTTTACTTGTTTCAGTGCCAGTAACCAACCAAACAGGGGTTAAAATTATAAATTCAAATTTCCAATCAATCGATCAAGTATAACTGTTCATTCTAGCAAAATCAAATCGCAAATACTATAAATCACAATAATAGAGATAAAATCAGGAAAGAAAATAAAATGGGCTGAAATGAAAATTGAGCAAAAACGAAAGTCAAAGTCAAAGAAATAGATGCAATGCCTTGGCTTCATAGATGCGAGGGCCGTGATAGGCGAGAACTTTCTCGCCTTCGGAGAATAGGCTGGAATTGGAGTCGGGGACGTCCCCGCCGGAGTTATCGCCGTCGGCAGCTGAGTCGTCCTTGGAGCTCCCCATTTAGGGTTGTTCTAGGGTTCCGAGAGGGGTCTCTTTGGATGAGAGCACCCTTAGAACCTTCCCTCCTTAGATTCTTTACTTTCAGTCTTCTGCTCGCTCTCTCAGCTTTGGCTGCAGACGAGTCTTGTGTTCGCGCACGCAGTAGTATGTGTTCTCGCTTTCCGCCTGATTCAAATGAAGGCCCGCATAGTTTCTCTCTATCGATAAAACAATTTTTATTTTATTTTGATAAGCATATGGGTAAAATATAAAAAAACAGCCAAGGTTTACAATTTTTTTTTAAAAAAAATATATCTTTTTTTTTTTTTTATTAATAAAGCTATCAAAAAATTACGGTAAGTAAAAAATATATTAGAGCCCATTTGAGATTTGCTTCTCTACTGATTAAAAACATTTTATTTTAAAAAATTATATTTAGCTGTGATTGGTAACCATTACGAGGCTTTTAATGGTTACCAACTATAGTTCAATAGAGTATTTGAAAGAACCTAGAATTTTGAGTTTTTAAAGCTGCTTATGAGTAGAGATTGAATATTTTAGGTAACTCTTTTCATTATACAATTTTATAAGTATGGTAAATTTAAAAAAAATAAGGCAAAAAAGGGCTTAATGTTTATGATATGTCACATGACCATGCTAACTATAAAATCTCCAAAACACCCTCTTCCTCTCCCCAAAATACCTAAGTAATCAAAGTCCTACAATAATATGATGTTGTTCTTCCTTGGGCATTTTTAGTCTTTTTATATTTAGTTAGTTTTTTACTTTTTTTTTATATTACGTATAGTAGCCTCCTCAATTGACAGTAGGCCCTTGTCTACACTAATGCTACGTTTGATGTATAGGAATGGAATGGAATACCCATTACAGCCATTCCTTTATTTGATATGCAACTTAAAGTGAGAATGACTATTCTATTGGAATGAAAATTCATTCCACAATTAAACCTATGGAATGGGCATTCCATTCCCAAGTAATTTATTTTAAAAAATCGACTTCCCAAAACACCCTCATATTTCAAGTCCAAAAACCACTATTACATTCCACCACAATCATCTTCGCCTTTCACCACCACCACCACTACCACTGCCTTTCACCACCGACTTTCACCATCGCCCACCACTTTCCACCACCACTACTGCCACCGCCTTTCACCACCGCTACCGCCACCGTTTGCCGCAACTACTGCCGTCGCCTTTCACCACCAACACCGCCACCGCCACCACTGCTACCGCCGCCACCACCGTCGCCTTTCACCACCGTTATCGCCACCACCGTCGCTGCCTTTCACCACCGTTTGCCACAACCACCACCGCTACCGCCTTTCACTACTACCGCTGCCACCGCCACCTTTCACCACCACCGCCGCCACCGCTGCCTTCCACAACTACCAACACCGCCGCCATCGCCTTTCACCACCGCCATCGCCTTCTACCACTTTCCATCACCACCGCCGCCGCCACCACCACCGCCTTCCGCCACCGCCACCATTATCACCACCACCGCCGCCTTCCACAACCACCACTATCGTTAATTTAATTTAATTTATTTGTTACCAAAAGGGATATTTTAGATAATTCAATTAGAAATTTATTCCATTCTAAATTTTAAATTGGTCCAACAAAAAACTAGAATGATTATTATCATTTCATTCCTACACATTTCATATTTACAACCAAACAATAGAATGAGAATGACCATTTCATTCCATTCTTATTCTCATTCTCATTCCATTTTCACTTACATTCCATTCCATTCTTGCACACCAAACGTAGCATAAAAGAAAATGTTATGGGGTTTTGAGAGCAAACAATATGAGGTGTTAAATGCATGCTACCCTTATTAGATATACTTGGAGTATCCAATACCACTTTTATTTTTTATAATATTATGTATTTCAACAAATATGAAGAGATATCACTATTTCAAATATTTAATACTATTTTTTATAATATTATTTATTTCAACAAATATAAAAAGATATCATAATTTCTTAACTCTTCGATTCCACCTTGGAAAATTTTGTAACATGAAAGAACGGGGTTATGTCAAAAAAAAAAAAAAAAAAAAAAGGGGAGAAAAGAAAAAAAGGAGAAAATTTTGTAACAAGGTAGAGCGGGGTTATGTAAAAAAAAATAATAAAAATAAAGTGTTGGAGAAGTTCGATTTTTTTTTTAAAGATGAATAAGAGCAGTGATGGGCACTACAGTGTCATGTATTACTATTTGTGCCTTTGAGGGGCAGGGGTGGAGCCATGATTGTAAAGTAGGGGAGTTTAAAGATAATAAGAAAATTTGAAGATGAACATAACAATTCTTATGATAAAGATATGTTTTATATATATATATATATATATATATATATATATATATATAGACTAAAAAAACGATGATGTTCTCGTATATCAAATCAAGTTTTTCAGGGGTATAAAAATTAAAAATCACTTACAAATAGAGTTTACTAATCTCAGAGAGATTCTTCTCCTTCTACATATTCTCTTCACTGATTTTTTAATCTATATTTGTTCAAAAAGATGAGAAATTGGACCCCCTCTCAAGTGTCTACAATTTCCTTGTTAGACCCCAAACAGACCAAACCCTATGAGGAAAAATACCACTGCGTGTTAAGAGGAAGTGGCCGAAGAGCAGTAAAAATTGAATACATATTACGTATGATTGGGCTGATAGGAAGAGGAAAAATAGTACTATGGATTGGGCTAAATTGAGCTAATAGGAAGAAAAAGAGTATTACTAAAAATTGAACACATATAGACTGGGCTGATAAGAATAATAGTACTAATTTTTAAAAAAGAAATTAGACCTGGGCTATAACCTAGGTTAGCCATTAAAAGCTCCGCCCATGTTGAGGGGACTTAACAATGTGATCCATTATCGCCTTATATATTTTTTCTTGTGTGCAAAAGGATTTACAAAGTTGCTAAGAGCAACAGTCACGAGTGAAATCTTTACCAGAAGAGCAGTGATATTTAGGTTGAAATTTTATAGTGAATTGTCTGACTTTGATCGGTCATGTTTCATTATACAAGAAAATGGAGGGGCTCATTTTCTTATATTTTGCATACATGACAAATCAAAACTTTTCGGTCAAGAATTTTACTCTAACTCTTAGGCCTTAAAATCATTTTCGTAATAGGAATCATTATTTTCATATGCTCTTTGTTGATGACTCGCCAACGTTTTGTAAAGCAATTGACAAAAAAATATGTAAAATAAAGAATATTTTGAAATGTTATGAAAGGTTGACAAGTCAGATGGTAAATTACGAAAAGTCTTATTATTTTCAATGCAAATATGCCTAGTAAAATATTAGGGTGGTGGCTGGGGGAAGAAAATATGATAAGAATTTAGGTTTGCCACCTGAAATTGACAAATATTAAAAATAAGTATTTCAGTACTTTGAAGACATAATGGTTGATAAAATAAAAGGGTGAAATGATTGTTTTCTCTCTCGAGCTGGGAAGAAAATTCTTCTTAAAAATGTGCTCTAGGCAACCAAATGGGGCCTTCAATATGACATTCTTAGGTTTGATAGGAATTTAGGTTTGTTGCTTGAAATTGGCATATCTTAAAAACAAGCATTTCAATACTTGAAGATATAATAGTTGATAAAATAAAAGGGTGAAAAGATTGTTTTCTCTCTATATATACCCATATCAGTTTCCATCTGGATCCGATGTGGTGGGACAAGTCTCTCCTTAAAACATTTTCCCTTATCCGAACTCGTAATGCTCTCGTTACGGTCAGGCCACCCTTCCTGTCCCGGTTGCCCACCCAGACGCTTCCGGATCGGCACTTGGTGTGACACCTGATCAAGGATTGGATCTGACTCTGATACCAGCTGTAATGGACCAAGTTGTTGGTCCTTGTGTTTCTCAGTGTTTGCTCTTTTAATGTCAAATCCATCTTTCTCAATGCTGCTAATATGTTTCATCATCATTCCTGTTGTACTTGGTGTTTTATAATGTCTCACAAGGGTAGTTTAGTCTTTTACCATCTTGTGATACACTTTTATGAAGCTTAAGGATGGTACACTGTGCTTGATACTCAATTCTCAGGCCTTTTTTTTGGTTTATATGAGGTTTAAGGTGTGATATTTGGTTGCAGGCTTGTCTAGTGGCATTGATGTCTTTTTACAGTTGCATTAGACCTTTTTCACACTTGTCTAGTATGATGCATTGTATTGATCATCACATTATTGAGGTGCATTGCAAGTTTTACTGTGATACCCCCTAATTTCGAAACACGGGTTGATCAAATTCGCTCATAAAATTAGGGGATATCAAAACAATTAAAGTATTTAAACAAGCACATAATACAAAGATGAATAATAAAGAATAAATAAACCACTAAAGAAAACTAATAAATAAATATTTCATTAATTAATAATTCTCCAACAATTACAACTCGGGAATCCCGTAACTCAAAAACCCCTTGAAACATTATCCAATGATCCAATCTACTATAAAAATAAGCCTATCATCCTACTTTGAAATAAACTAAAAGAACGGATAAGTCCTCCAACTGCAGATCCTAAACCTTGAGACTTGAACCTCTAATAACCTGAAAGATAAAAATAAGTGGGTCAAACCCACGAGCAAGTTCTCTCTACCAGGTCTCCGAAAACTAATAAGTAGATCATCTCTGATCAAAACCAAACCTAGCAAAGTTTTTATTTTTAATAAACAATGATACACATATATATAAATAATTATATATAAATAACACAGTCACATCTATTACTAGGTTCATTAATTCCAAAACTATTATCAATGATTAAATAATAATCATACCTAGACCAATCCACCATTTCTTTTTAAAGAAAAATTCCTTAACCTCAATCCCATCATAAACAGTTAATTAATCATTGATAATGGTTTTGGAATTAATGAACCTAGTAATATATGTGACTGTGTTATTTATATAAGTTTGTATCATTGTTTATTAAAGATAAAAACTTTACTAGGTTTGGTTTTGATCAGAGATGATCTACTTATTAGTTTTCAGAGGCCTGGTAGAGAGAACTTGCTCATGGGTTTGACCCACTTATTTTTATCTTTCAGGTTATTAGAGGTTCAAGTCTCAAGATTGAGGATCTGCAGTTGGAGAATTTATCCATTCTTTTAGTTTATTTCAAAGTAGGATGATAAACTTATTTTTATAGTTGATTGGATTATTGGATAATGTTTTAA